TTCTGCACCTAATAGTAATGGCTTCTTTCATGGTCACGGGAGGGTTGGATCAGCGTTTCTTTTCATTCTCGTTTTCTTTCAGTAACTGCTGGGATGAAAGCAAGTCTAGGAGAATAAAAATTTCACAAACAGGACAAGAATAAAATATTTAGGGCAAGAGATCAGAAGTTCTTTGGTTATTCAGTGAACTGAACTAACTCTACTTTTTAAAAGTATAAGGAAATAAATGTCCATCAAACTCCATGTCACAGTGGGTATTAGCCTTTCGACCCCATCTCACAGGCTCTCAGCTGCGTTGTCATGCCTAGCAAGTTGCAGTAAGAAACTCAGACTAATCCAGTGACAAAGTGGAGCAGTTTTGTCGTTATTAATTCTGTTCCCAATATTTACTACATCTTTATTCTGAGAAGCATTCTACCAACGTTGTTAAATGGCCCATTCTCTGTCACTTCCCACCCCAAAACCCAATCAGTGATGAATGGTAGAAACGGAAGGTTTATTATCACTGCTTTACGTCCCTTAGAGCAAACCCAATCACTGCAGAGGAGCAGTTCAAGCTGTCCATCAATTAGTGCCTTTCCCCAAGTTCAATCTGAGTGGGAAACAGTTGGAAAGAGACATGCTTGAGAAGTACTGTACTAAAACTTAACACCTTTACTCATTATTAAAGTGATCTTCTTGGAGTGCTTGTCACAAAGCACTCCCCCCCACCCCCCGAAAATAAGGTGGTTGTTTTTTAAAATTTATCTTTATTTTTGAAAGAATTACAGATGACCCCCATTTCCCCTCCCCATTGATCCTCTCCACTCCACTACCGCCTTTTCCTCAGGCCTTCACCAAACTATAGTCTGTCCATAGGTTATACATATGTGCATATAAATCCTTTGTTCATTTCTTCCCACCCCCACCCCCAGCCCAGAGCTAAGGTTAATTTGCTCAAGAGAACAGGTCCCTCCCAGAGTGGTGAAGAAGCAGTTAGGTACTAACAGTATCGCTTCATTTCTAGCCACACCGAGTCTGATTTAGTTGTGGGTGATAACCCTATCCTGGCACTGCGAAGCTCTTTTCCAGGACCCATCAATTAACAACAGCTTAAGAAACATTCTATGCCCAAGCAATTCAGGCTAAAAATAACTCTGTGGGCTATTTTTTCCCCTTTGCTCATCCACAGAAAGCATGTCAACAGGATCTTTGCTCCTTGAGTGTTTTCACTCCTGCTTACTCCTCCCTGAAAATCGAGTTGTTTGATTACAATCAGGAAAGTTGCTAGGTTGGTGTGAGACTTGCCAACTAGCAAAACTACCAGTATGCTGATGGAACTAAGCTTTGGGACTGTCAAGTGTCCAGAGAAAAATAGAAGAATAAAAGAACCCAGCATTCACAGACAGGATAATTAAAAAATAGATTCTCCTTTCCCCTCCTTTCTTATAAATTACACAATTCTTTGATCATATCTGATTTATACACAGAATTCACTTCTACCTTAACAATATTAACTTAACAATTGAATGCTTGTTATGTATAAGGTACTTTTCTAAGAACTTTAGGGGCATTCACTCATTAATTTGCACAACTCTATGAGGTAGATATGATTATTTCAATTACACATTTGAAAAAACTGAGGCACGGAGAGATGAAGTGACTTGTCCAAGGGCCCTCAAGCTAATAAATGGCAGAGCCAAGATACAAGCCCAGGAAGTCTGGCTCCAGAGCCCATGTTTCAACCATTACACACACTGCTTCTGCAACAAAAAAGATGACCTTTTCTGAATTCCTACAAAGCTGTATCTCCCTAACTATCAAATATGTCAATTTACATTCTCTAAATTAAGCAGACACTTGGTCCTCTGGTTCATCTTAATGTGAAAACAAGGACCAACAGGAACTTTCGTCTCATCTAAAACCTATCAACTCTCTTGTACAAAACAAATGCTACCCCCTCTCAAATATGAAAATGCAGTGAGATAGCTGTTCAAGCATCAGAATTACTTTCTAGCAACAGGAAATGTTTGCAAAATTAAGGCCCTGGACACCTCTTTCAGTTTAAGCAGTCAGCACTCAATGTATCTCTTGTGGCCCTAACAGAACTTAAGTAGCTATCTCTGAAAGACAAACAAGTCAATTTTAACAAGACCCTGATTAGAGAATGTTTAAGTCTATGAATATATTATGGTGATGGGGCATAAAGTAGAAAGTTCCTTATGCTTAATGACTCACCAATAGGTTCACAAAGATATCAAAGCACTGGCCTACTCAGCTGTGACAGAAGTTCATACAATCAGGAGTTTAGGAAGGCCAAAGAGCTATTCATATGCTCCTTTTGCTCAAAGGCCCTAACTTTACTTAAAACTTTGTCTAATCTTTCCTCAATTTCTCCCATCTCTCAAACACTCTATTCATAAGCTTCATAGGCCAATGCCATATTTCAAAGTACTAACAACCATATTTTAAGACACTGTTCTTTAATTGATTTGCTTCTGAAATAGATTATTAAATAACTTTCAAATATTGAATATTTTGCCTTGGGCAAAAAGCTCTCTCAAATGCAATATAACTGTAGTAAAATGAACTGATGACCTGACTGTGTTGTAAATACCTATGTGTTTACAACCACCCAAACACTGATGTCACCGTTGGGATGACAAAACAAATCAGGAAGTTTTGCTAAATAAGTTGAATTTGCTTAGTCCTCCTAGGCCTCCTCCCCTATCTGATTTGACACAAGCAATTTCCTTTCACTTTCTACAGATATAACAACAAATGGGAAAAAGCATTGAAAATGCTACCCTGACAGTCACTTAATACAGAGGTGGGCCTGAGCAGCTGGGCAAATCAGTATCATCGGCTTCCTTCATATGTGAGTTATTTTCAATAACAAACCTGAGAGATGTTATATAGCTTAACAGGAGACAAAAAGGTGTTAGTGAAAAACATTTTTGTGGATGGGAAAACCTTCAAAAATTGGTACTTAGGTTATTTAATATTAAGACACCACCAGACTGAGCTGTAAAAAGTAAAATTGTCCTAAACTGACTTTTGAAAAAGGCAGTTGCAGTGGCGAGTTTAAAGAAACTGGCAGGCCACTGATATTAGTATCTACTAGCAGGCCTCTGATGGGGGAGAAACTTAAACGGGTCTCTTGATACTTAGTGAAGTCAGCAAACAATATCCCCAGCCTGTGCCGGCCTGATATTAAGGGCCACACCTTCCATTTCCCAGCCGGGACCATAGTTCCCCGCCTCGCCTCCCTCCCAACCCAGACAGGTGATTACAGACAAGGAGGCAGTGATGTTGCTTCAAAATATTTAATACGTGTCAGACACGTGAAGTTACATTTTTATACAAAAATCCATACAACGAAGGAGAAAATACTGTACAAAAAACCAGCTCCCCCAACCTTTATACAACAAAGACTGGAGTCACCATATCTACAAAACCGTAAGGTCTTTTCACTTAGGGGTTCTGTCTGTAAACTTTGTTTCATTAAACACTTTTTAAAAGCACTGTGTAGTCATTTTGAGCTAGAGCTTTTAAAAATAGATCTTTTCTCTAGAACTCCGTATTTCCAAGCCTGAACTCTTCTGTGAAGTCCATCAAGCTTTTTTTCCCTGTGGGGTCCCCTTTCCCAGGATAATCAGGGGGTTGAAACGTTTCTTCGGCGAGAGAAAGGCGGGGAGGGAGAAGTCACACGAGTCTCTACTCCAGACTGAATCGCTCTCGTCTGATGAAATCTGCGAGGAAACGCCGCTCTGGGCCCGAGCGGGTGTGAAGTCCCTTCCTGCCGCGGGCGCGCAGGGGAACTCCCGGGCCCGGTGAGCCGCTTCCTCCTCGCGGGGCCGGTGGAGGAAAGTCCCCGTCGGCCCCCCTCTCCTCAGCCCGGGGGCAGGGCGAGCATTCCAGGAGGACAGAATAGTCTTAATTCACGAAACACACGGACAGACACAGACACACAGACACACACATGAACGGCCGTCCTCTTCCGATAAGCCTCACGCTCCCCAGTCTCAAGAGAGGTCCCCAGAGAGGCCGACCCGGCAGGGCCGCCCC